CTGTTTCGGCTTTCTAAGTGCTAGAGTCTTAGGTATGCACCGCCATGCCCAGTTTGCCAAGAACTAACAGGGCTGCATGCTACCTCATCCAGAAAGGACAAAGATCCATTCTTCTCTAGGCGACAACAGTCTTGTCCAATTTTGTCCTGTGGTTTGAAGTCCTGAAGTGGTCGTGTTCACCCCGCCCCCTTCCTTCCCTCTGTGTATTTCCTCTACCTCTCCCCTTTCCTCTCCCCTCCATTGCTTGCCCTCACAGCTTTGGGTGATTCTAGAGTGGGACTCTCACCCTGTCTTCCTTCTGAGTCCCCATCTGTTCTGGGGTACAAAATGGGCTACACAGTAGTGGAAGGAACTCAGTGTTGCCTCGCTGGGCAGGGCATGCCATCAGCTTGCTGTGTGACTGCGTGTGACTGAATTACTTACCCTTTCCGAACTACTCTCTCCTCGGCTGGCAGATGAAAGTGCTGGCTAGCTGGCTTCTCAAACGCCTTGTAACTGTAATTCTGCGGTTTTAGGGAGCTGCAGTCTCAGTGCTATGGAGCTGTCTGGGGTCATTAACCAGAACGTCACTCACAGACTTTAATGAAACTGCCAGGAGGCCAGCAGTCATCAGTTATGTGATTTAAAGTTGTCAGCTTTCCTAAGGCCTGGTAGCTGAGGGTCTGGGGGTTCCAGAGAACTTCAGATGCTCTGAGGTGCCCTCACCAAAGAGGGAGACAACTGACTCCAGGAACCCCATGGTCCGAGGACACTCATTTATTTCTAGACTGTCATTTGGATAGCTACAGACACAGGCAGATTTGGACTTGGTTGGATACAGAATTTTGGGGAGCTCGAGGTGGGGGGGGGTGGGCAGAACAGTTTCTCTTCTTTGCCAGACCTTCTTATGGGGTGCTCTCCTGGCCAAACACAGACGCCTCAGAGTTTACCCAATAAACTCAAACTCATGGCCAGGTCAGGAGTGGGGAAGGCCTAGAGGGCCTTACACAATGAATTGGGGGCCAAGGGAGGGACAGAACCAGGACTCTAAGGCAGGTGGGGGCTGTAGGAGGCTGGTAGCTCTCAGGAGTTTGTGGGTGTCACCTCCATCCTTCCTACTCCAACCCCAGCTCATGTGGATGGCACAGCTGGTGTGTGCGTGGGGCAGGGGGGAGCTGAAGAAAGACCGTAACAGTGTCCAGGAAGGAGGGAGGAGAGAGTCCCCCTTTTCTTCCAGCGTTCTGTCACTGGGCTCCACAGCAGCCTGCAGAACCTGCCTTCCAACCTCCAGGAAAGCAGGCTTTACTGTCTGCTCCGCCAAAGCTGTCTCATTTGTAACCTAAATAATTCACTTGCCCATCTCTCCCTGAGCATTAGGAGGAAAACAAAGCCAGCCCTCGCCCTGTGCTCAGGTTTCCACGGCCCAGAGGGCAAGCCAGGAGGCTGAGAGGCCGTCCCAGGCCTCCCGCTGTCCCTTGGGTGCCAGGGGTGACAAACACCTGAAATAGGTCACGAGGTGTTTCTTCCACCCTAGAGCTAAAGGTGGCATTGACAGTTCTGAAATGTTTTTAAACACAACGAGACAAAACAAAGGGTCTGTCACAGAGACTCAATGTGGTCCGCAGAATATAGCAGATTCATTTTCCGGCTCTTTCCAGAAAATATTTGCCAACTCTTCCACCTATCCTCCGATCTCCACTCTTCAGTATGGAAGGACACTGTGACAGCCTTTGGCCTCTCCATGGGCGCCCTAGCCTGTGGCCCTGCTGTATGCAGAGACTGCCAGAGGCCTGCCTTCTGAACTTAACCTTACTGTTCATCTCTTTTAGCAAAAATAAAAATGAGCCCCGAGATGGGGTGATATCAGAGTCTTAGGCAGATGCTTAGGGAGATAGGGGAAGCTAAGGCTCCATCCTAAACTATCCCTGATTTGCCTTCTCAGGGATGGGGCATCGTCCAGGCTGGTCTCTAACACGCCCTACTCCCTAAGGCCTTGGTGAGGAGTGTAAGCCGGGATGCTCCTCCCAAGCCATCTATCGGGCCAACCTGGAGACCTTCAACTCTGAGCTGTAGTCTGCCTAACTCTGCCTAACTCTCTGCCTTCCAGGTGCCTATCTAGGGAGATGGCTGAGGCTCTCAGAAGAGAAATGCCAGAGGGGCAGTGGGATGCCAGCCCACAGTGCCCCAGCTGCAACTGGGCCGAGTGACCTCTGGGCTAGCGTGGGGACTGTTTGAATCCGGGGGACTGAGATGTAGCCTCACTCTGCAGTGTGTGGGGATTCTGGATTCTTGTGGATGGGAGATCAGTGGCCTCAATCAAAGTCCCATCTCCCAAGAAACATGCTGCTGCTATCTAGACAGTGTTTGCAGGGTCCCGCTCTCTCGATTAAATTAGCATGAAGACTTAGCCTGGAATCTCAGCATCTGAGTGCTGGAAGCTCAAACTGTGAGATCTTGGACAAACCATCTCATCCCTCTGTGACTCAGTTTCCTCCTCCACTAAAACAAGCAAAAACAAAAACGAAAACCACGTGAAGTTCAGGTGGGGATGGTTCCGAGGGCCCGTCCATCCCTTGGACAGCAAAGGAAGTGAGCCATACACCCTGCCTCTACAGAGCTGGGCTAAAGAGTTGTTGGACCTCATCTCTACTTTCCAGCACTGTCAAAAGAGATTCCACTGGCTTGGCATCAGGGGACAGTGTCGCCTTTAACATCTTAGCATCTTCCCGGGCATGCAGGACTTCATGACTTTGTGTCTTCTGATCAGGAGACAGCCGAAGATTAATGAGACTCTCATCCACCCATCCCCACCACACCCATGGCAGGTCGCTCAGAGGCCATGGTACCACACACTTTAAACTGTTTGATGTCTGTCATCCACTGCCTAACTGGACAAGATATTCCTTAAGGACAGGATTATGTGTGTCAACCTTTGTTCATAAGAGAGCACATATCTCAAGTGTGTGACCGAAGATACAAGCATTTCTGCCAAGCAGCATGACTAACTTGCCAATCTGATGTTGCATTTGACATGGGGCACATGGGACTACATGTCTGGGTAAGTGAGTCCTCATATCTGCTGGCTGGTGTGACCAGAAGCCATTCTTCAATCCAGACAATCAAGACAATCCAGACTGTCCAGTCTAAGCCATGACCCCGAGGGTTATCGTGTGACCTAGAAAGCAAGTGGTTAGAAGGTTAGAGAAATCAACAGGGAGTCAGACTTTGTAGCATGCCAGAGAACACTGGGTCATGCAAATCTCTTAGAGGTCACTGCTGCTAGTCTGCTAAAACCATCCAAGCTGGACACGGCGGCCTGGTGGTCCATGCTGACGTCAGTCAGACAAGCCTCACCACTGTTTGCCTCTGAGTCACTACACAAATTGCAAAGATTGTGATCTACTTTTTAGGCCACAAACCCTACCCTGTAACAGTATGGCAAATGTCCCAAGCTCTGTGATGGGTCCCACTTTGCTAGTCTTGATAAACATTCTCAGAATGTCTGTCTCCCTTTGCTGCCTACAGACAGGCTTTCTAGCCTTCTAGCCAACCAAACCATCTTCTTTCTTTCTTTCTTCCTTTCTTTCTTTCTTTCTTTCTTTCTTTCTTTCTTTCTTTCTTTCTTTCTT